AGACAGACAGATAGACAGACAAACAGAGAGAGAGAGAGAGCGAAAGAAAAAGAGAGAGTTTTGTTCCATTTATTGTTATGAGTGTGAGAGAGAGAAAGAAATAGAGAGAGAGGGAGGGGGGGGGCTACCAGAGAACGAGAGAGAGAGAGAGAGAGAGAGAGAGAGAGAGAGAGAGAGAGAGAGAGAGAGAGAGAGAGAGAAAGATAAACACATGCAAATGTAGACAGAACGTGCGAGGTTTTACTTTCACAGCATACACGTAATGTCCATGGCATGCGAGACCAGTCGCGATTACCCTTCTACCTCACTGCTCAGGTGATCATTTCAGCCACTATCCTCCGTATTTCTACCCTTCGTTCCTAGTCCTTCTCCGCCACTTTCCCTATCCTTGCAGTGTACTCATCATTTATCCTCAGGATCTCCCGCAGTCGCTCTCTGTGTTGTCCTTGTCGTCGTCGATTTCCAACATGCCTTCAGTCTGGAGCTACTTTCATCATATCTTATGATTCTGTTCGTTAATTTATTTTGTCACCCTTGTTTCCAGATATGTTTTTTCCATGTTCGCGTTGTCTGATATGATTTCAAGTTTTAGAGATTGGTGATAGCATGTTTGAAAATATTTCAAACATTCCAACTCTTTCGTTTGATCTTCCTTACTTGCTATTATGATCATCATTACATCGTCCACAAAACTCATATCGTGGATAAGTTTCGCATCAATTCCAGTCTGCGCACACCATTTGTACTCGTCGATCGCGCATACCATGTTGGCAATTGGTGGGCTAGAGCCCTTCCCCATTGGTATCCCCATTACTTGGCATAATAATGTTCCTTGTACTTTGAAGTTTGAAGAATGCGTTTCAAATGTCATAGTACAACAAATCCATTAGGCACTCAATTTTTAACGTTCTCCATCCGTAGGTTCCGTTTGCTTTTCCACAGTTCATGTAATTTTCTCTCATCTTGTAACGGAAGTGGGTTTTTCGTTTTTCTTTCGCCGTTTTCATCATCCATTGCATGACGTTTAACATATATATGTGATCGAGATTCGAAAACATATCTTTGAAATCGTATGTGGAGCAGATTATCGTAACCATATCCCTGTATGTTTCTTTTGCTACTTGATTGCATTTCTTCAGTCTAGGTAGTATTTGGTTTGTTCCTTTTAGAGAGAAAACAACTTTCAATGCTTGACACATGAAGTGGATAGCTCTTGATAGTGCCTTCGATGCTTTCCGAGATGACTCCTTATATGTCGACACAATTGGTCGGCGTCTGGTGACATCCTTGTTTTTTTTAATTGTATACGCAAACGGAATCTGAGATCACTCAATTGACCAAAAATATGTATCATGGATGTGGGCTGAAGAAAATCGCAGAATGAGATAATTTCGTAGTGATTCGATTCCGGAAAGAATTTTCGGGTCTTCTCATACCAGATTTTACGGCATTCCACAAAAGTTTCTCCAGGATTTATGTCCAATGGTGATAGGATACATTGTGTCAATCTTCTTTTTATTTCCCATACTTCTGATATGTGAAGAAAAATCTACATATCATTCTTATTTTCGATGCAAGTAGAGACATCTATTTTAATTTCCCTTTTCTTCCTTAGTGGTCGTGATATACTTGCAATGGTAGTGATGATTGTCCTTTTAGTTTCTTACTTTCCAATTCTTTCATTCATATGGGGTACGTTTTTTGCATTCCACAACAGCTGATTTTCTGTGATTTCACTTAATCTGCAGGCAATGTGGTTCTCAATTTTTGGAAGTCGACATACTACACAATTACAGTTCGGTGCTTGTGTAAGTACCGGTTTGTGATTGTGTAATATTTCCCCGACTGTCTTTGATTTTTTAAACATCACACGCATCCGAGTTGTCAAATCGTTTGCCAAATTGTTATTACTTATGTTTTTCAAGATAGACTCAGTTGTTCAGTTTTTCACTTGCTTCAGATTAATACATGCATCAAATGAAATCTTAAATATCAGCCTTCTCTAGATATTGAATGCAAACTTCTTCTTTGAAATTCGAATGAAGATACCTTTAATTGTTCGTTTTTGCTTCTTTTCGGTAATCGATCCCACCTTTGACAGAAGAATCAGTATATCATCTAACGATAATTTATACAGTTCCCTCCGTCTTCATGGTGCCCTCAAGCAGTGAATCACAATATTTCTATGTTTGTTTGTTTTCGGTCTCGTATGCACCAGTTGGATCACATAGAAGATACATTCATTTTCGATTCGTTTTTTGTATTTTTTTAGCTGAAACTTTGTGTTGACAATTTTCACAATTGTTGATTCGAATTTTCGCTTAATTACTTTCTGTTTTTCATTCTGTAGTTTCCAGTTGTGCAGTACATCATTGCTTTCGGTTGAAGTATTGATGTTAACTTCGTAGTGTAACCCGATCGAACTGATTTAAACAAAACAGGTATATTCTGATTCACCTCATTGTTTTCATTCTTCTTCTTCTTTCTCCTTCTTCGTCTTCGGTTTTTCCGAGTCTTTTTGCCTTTTCCCCTTGTATTCAAGAATGGATTCAGTCTCCTAATAAGTGTTGCTTCCATCCCTATCACCTCTGATCTCACACCCGTCCAAATGGGTATCAGAACATATTTCTCCCAACCAAATTTGTGCAGCCAACTGTATAGTTTCCGCTGTGCCCCTCTATTTGGATTCTTGGCCAAGTTCATGTGTTCAGTCCATCTCTTGTCGGGCTGTCTTCCTGTACTTCCCACGTACATATGTCTACACCAAGGTGAAACTCCCTATACTAACTAGTTGCTCAATTTTCGTTGATAGCCTGTGTATCTGCTCCCACTTCCTTGTCGTGGTGAGGTCGCCTGATGCTGAGGTGTCTACTACCTTCCCGACAGATCTTCGGCGCTCGAAGATGTGTCAGATGAGTCGTACTCATCACTCCTGCTTGATCTTGTACTAAGGCTGTCGTAATCATCCTCACTTGTGTCGCCGCTAGTTGTATTGGACACTCTGATGTTATCTGGATCTGGCATGATCTGTGTTTCAAGATCAGAATCCCGGTTGAAGTCTCGCCCCCATCCAGGAACTTGCCTCAATGCCGATATCGCTTGCGGCTTGTCCTTGTACCTGATGTCATGCATCTTGCATAAGACCTTCAAGTCCATGTAGTGAAGACGAAGGAGTTGCATGTCCGTCATCGGTTCGACCCCGAAATTAATGCTCCGTTTTGCCTTTGACTTCGCTGCCGACACGTTGCGATTAATCTTCGTTTGTCCTCTCTTGGGGTGTGGAGGGATTACGCGTCCCAATATGCTTTTGTTCGGTGCGCTTCTGCTTGGCATGCTCCGGCTCGAAATGCTGTGGCTACCATGTACTGAAGTTGATAGTCCAGACATTGTTCCCCACATATCCGTTCGGATGAACCGAAGAGGACACGATCGGAGTGCAGGTACGAGTCGGTTCATTGATCTTCTGCAACGCGCCCTTCACAACCGCCAGATCATACTTTAGTAGCTTCAGGTTGTTGAACTCCTTCTGCACTTCCGATACCATCCATTCTACTTTACCTTCCGCCTCTGCATTCTTCTGACCGGTTGCGCTTGGACCAGCTTGATTTTGTCCCCCTTGGTTCATCTCTGTCGGCTTCAGTGCTTCATCAATGATGGACTTGAGCGCGTCCGGAGTTAGCTCAGGCTTCTTTGCAGTGTCTTCCTTGTACGGAGGAGCTGGCTGCTTTTCACTTGTCTTTCGTGTGAGTTGCTCCAGTGTCTTGAGAACTTTGTCCATCTCCCACCGGAGCTTAAAGATTTCTTCCTTTAGATCCGCCGTAAACCACGCTCGATTTCCCGGTGGGGGGAAATCATTCCGTCTTTGCTCCCACAATGGTCTCCAGAACCACCTTGGAGATTCTGACTCCGCCCTTCTTCTCCGTGACGATGGTGATTTTGACTTATGTCTTCTATCTCTCGGAGTTTTCGATCTCCCCCTTCTTGAGCGCTTCCTCCCTTGAGATCCGGAAGATGATGATGAGTGTCTGCGCCGCCTCCTGTCCGACGATGATCACGAACGCGAC